TCTTTATAAAATATATAGATTAATGGTTATGGTTGATACTTAAGACAGAGCTAGCAAATAAGAAATCTTAGTCATTGACCAGCAGCATTGTAACTAATATAAGACTCTGTTTGTTATTTGGGGCCCTAGAGCGGCAGCAGAACCCAGGCAGCTGGCAGAAAGAGTTACCATTTACAAGGAAGGGGTGGAGTGGGTCACAGTACCTCATCTACGATCCCAGATGCTCATGCCTAAACCTGGCTAGCTGCATGCAATTCTGCCTTAATTGTGTGTGGCCTTGGAGTCTTGGGAGGTACTGGAGTGTATAGACTGTGGAGAATTAACTGAAGGGGAACTAGGTAAGTAACTATGGGAACACATTATCTACAGGGGAGTGAGACTCCCTGGTGATGAGGCTGCTTTGGGGTCACCTATCTAAAAAACTCAATGGTTTCCACTCTGGTGGAATTGTGTTTAGGTTTGTCATTGGAGCTTTATAAGGAGGGGACAGGTGTTTGACAGTGTCTCCCAAGAGAAAGAATGCCGCTAACAGGGGGTTACTCTGGCTTGACCACAGATAGTGTAGGAAGGTCACTTGAAACAAGATGTGAAAATAATGTGTGGCAATCTCTCCAAATGGACAAGCTCATGGCTGCCAAAACAGCATGCAAAGTCCAAAAGGTGCTGGAGGTCTTTAGCTGGGTCAGCTAAAATCAGCTTCATAGGCACCCTCATGAGAAGTATGCACAATATCATTACCCTGTTCCCTGGAGAACTTTTTGACTTTAGGAGTAAGTAAAATCCGTACTTTTATTTTATCTTCAAAATAGAATGGATTATGGGTAAAATGTAATTTCAATGAGAAAAACAAAAGCATACCCATTTGCTAGAAATGCCACCCTTGGGGAAGGTGCATTGCAGGGAATAACAGATGAGAAATGTAAGGCCCATGGCTGCTAGGACCAGGGTCGTTGCTGCTTGTCTGACACTTGCTCCTTTTTTAAAGAGCATATTCTTGTTTCTCAGCTTGTTCTAATTAACTCTTGACTGCTTGGTCTACTAGTGTGTTGCATTAGGATTCTCCTCTTTTAGGAGCATAAGAACAGACACAACCTCTCAAGTCAAGATCAGAGGGTACTATTAGAAGACAAAGTGGGAAATACCCTTGAATTAATTGGTACAGGAAACTGCTTCCTGAACATTACACCAGTAGCGCAGACACTGAGAACAACAATTGATAAATGGAACCTCCTGAAACTGAGAAGCTTCTATAACACAAGGGACACAGTCAGCAAGACAAAACGGCAGGCCACAGACTGGGAAAAGACATTCACCAACCCCACATCTGACAGAGGGCTAATCTCCAAAATATACAAAGAGCTCAAGAAGCTAGTCTCCAAAACACCAAACAATCCAATTAAAAAGTGGGGTACAGAACTAAATAGACAATTCTCAATAGAGGAATCTAAAATGTCTGAAAGACACATAAGAAAGCGTTCAACATCCTTAGCCACCAGAGAAATGCAAATCAAAACAACTCTGAGATACCATCTTACTCCTGTCAGAATGGCCAAAATCAAAAACACCAAGGACAGTTCATGCTGGAATGGATGTGGAGAAAGGGGAACACTTCTCCACTGCTGGTGGGAGTGCCAACTTGTACAGACACTTTGGAAATCAATATGGCGACTCCTCAAGAAAATGCGAATCAGTCTACCACAAGATCCAGCAATTCCACTCCTAGGCATATACCCAAAAGAAGCACATTCATACAACAAGGACATCTGTTCAACGATGTTCATAGCAGCACTGTTTGTAATAGCCAGAAACTTGAAGCAGCCTAGATGCACCTCAACTGAAGAATGGATAGAGAAAATGTGGTACATTTATATAATGAAGTACTACTCAGCGGGGGAAAAAAATGGAATTTTGACATTTGCAGGAAAATGGATGGAACTAGAAGAAACCATTCTGAGTGAGGTAACCCAATCACAAAAAGACAAACATGATAAGTACTCACTCATATGTGGATTTTAGACATAGAGTAAAGGATTTCCAGCCTACAATCCACACTGCCAGAGAAGCTAGGAAACGAGGAGGACACTAAGAGAGACATACATGGTCCCCTGCAGAAGGAGAAAGGGTCAAGATCCCCTGAGCAAATTGGGAGCATGGGAGGAGGGGGGAGGGAGCTACGGGAATGAGAAGGGAAGAAGAGGAAAGATGCAGAGGTCATGAGGGAGCAGAAAGGTTGAGTCAGAGAAGAATAGAAGAAAGGATATGTGATAGGTAGGGTTTTAGTTGGGGGGTGATAGGGGAGGAAGGGAGGGAGAAGGGAACTGGGATTGTCATGTAAAACAATCTTGTTTCTAATTAAAATAAAAAAATGATTAAAAAAAAGATCAGAGGGTCCTGATGATCTCCCAGTAACAGTGCCACATAGGTAAGGGGTTGCTGTGCAGCACACACAGAGGTCAGTCACTCCTGCCATGTTCCCAGAGGGTCCAGCTTTATCTGGAGCTGGCAGCAGTATCTGCCATCATCCACACTGTACTAGTTTTGCAGACATTCAGAATGCAAGAATGAAGGGGGTCATTGGAGGTTTGTGCAGAGGTTTGAGAGAAAAGTCTATGAGGTAAAATAAAAATGCATAGTGGTGTCTGATTCCTCTACAGAACTCCTGAGCTAGCATGAACTTTGGAGGTTATACCCAAGAAGGTTCCAGAAGCATTAATTATCCATTAAAGAAAGCTACAAGTACTGAAGAGAGATGGTCTAAGAGAGGAGTTACACATGTAGTGTCTGGGCCCATAGAAATGGCTTCACTTCATCTTGACTTAAGGTCAGAGAGTTCAAACCTACTCCAGCTTTCTCAAGATTAAACAGGATATTTGGCCTAAGTAACTAATGGATGTCTTACTTTAACAACAGGATATTTAAGGTATGGCTATTGTCTATCTTACCTTGACAACAGGATATCTGGTTTAGGGTGTGGTTACATGGTGTTTTGGGTATTGAAAAGGTAATTACACTTGCTTGTTCTTTTGTATCTTGGTAAGGAAGTCTCTTTGCCTTCCTCCACTTTTGATTGGGGTATATAAAGACTGTGTGTAATAAAACTTGGGGCTTCCCCCCCTCCTGGTATTCACTGGAGTGCCTTCCTGACTCTATCTCTTGTTTCTTGTCTATTTTTGTTCTCAATCCACACTCCCCCTCTCAGTTGTGGACTGGACAAGTCGGCTGGACTCAACAAAAGCTCCCCAGAATGTGGGCTCTGACAGTATAGTGAATGGTGGGACCATAGGGGCTGAAGTAACCAAGCTCACGGGAACCTAGATTGGTACTAGCACATGGCCCAGTGCTGGACTCTGAGTCTCAGGTTTTAATGTTGGCCGTGCAGGGTTTCAGTCTTTCTTTGGTTTCATTGTCTCATACTATCCTACTTTTCCCCTTTGAGCTCACCCCGTAACATCATATGAGTAATGTACAATTTGATTTTGATTGTACATGGGCTCCTGTTAAGAAATTACCTTGCATCCTAGTTAGCTTCAGCTGTCAACTTGACACTATCCCAATTGTGGGACTCCCTCCATCAGATTGGCCCTTGAGCATATCTGTGGGGATTTTCTTAATTGATTATTGATGGAGAGCTCATCCCACTATGGGCGGTGCTTGGGCAGGTGAGATGAGCCATACAAAACAGCTAACTGAGCAAGCCAGAGAAAGCTAGGCAGTAAGTAGCATTCATCCATGGTTCCTACCTTCAGGTTCCTCCCTGATTTCCCTGTAAGATGGATTTTTGACCTGGAATTTTAATATGAAATAAACTTTTTTTCTCTCCAAATTGCTTTTGGTCATATTGTTTATCACAGCAACAAAAAAGCAAACCATGATAGAAATGGGTACCAGGAACAAGTTTCAGGGAAGTTTGAGAGTCACTCAAATATTCTGTCAAGGTGATTCATATATTTGAATTAAGAATCTGGACATGAAACTTGCTGTGCTTGAGTGGGACAATAAATACTGGTCCTCTGAGGATGAAAACTTAGCTGTGATGAATAAAAAGTTGACATCACTAAGGTATTGAAGAAGCCAGAACAATGGGACATCCACAAGGTCAGGCACAAATGTGGAGTGGAGCTGACTTGAGCCTATGACACAAGCTGTGTGTGCTGTGAATGGCAGAGGCAGGCTGATCTCTGTGAGTTCCAGACTACCCTGGTCTACAAGAGCTAGTTCCAAGACAGCCTCCAAAGTCTCAAAGAAACCCTGTCTCGAAAAAACAAAAATAAAAATAAATGAATGAATGAATGAATGAATGAATGAATAAAATAGCATGCTGGTATATCAAGTTGACAAGGAATGGAATCTCCTAGTTAGTTTTAACTGTCAACATGACACAGCCCTAAATTATCTGAGGAAGTCCCAGTTGGAAGACTGCCTCAATCAGTCCACTATTGGTGGCGCTATCCCTAGGCAGGTGAGCTTGGACTGTATGAGAAAGCTAGTAGAGCAAGCCAAAATAGACTTTGATCTGGACTGGACGTGTAATATGAAATTGCTTCCTCCCCAGTTGCTTTTGGTCTTGTTGTTTATCACAGCAACAGAAAACCAAACTGCAACACCGTGAGTCTGAACAATATTAAGACTGTGGTAAGCTGGTGGGGGGACTGTGGTAGGCTGGCAGTGGTGGCACATGCCTGCCTTTAATCCCAGCACTCAGGAGGCAGGGTGGATCTCTGTGAGTTCAAGGCCAGCCTGGTCTACAAGAGCTACAGCTGTTACACAGAGAAACCCTGTCTGAAGAAATCAAAAAAGAAAAAAAAAAATGATGACACTTAAATTTTTGACTGAGTGTATTTTTCGTTATGAGAGCATGATGACCTTTAGATGGGAGATCATGATTTAGATCTAGACTATCCCCCACAGCTTCCTGCTTTAAGCACTTCCTGTTGAGCACATGTGATGTTTTGGAATCTCAGATACAGGCCAGTTCAGCAGGCTTTGAAGGGAGCTCAAACCTCAAGGTCCCATCTAGCTGCCAGCTCCAGGAGGTCTGCTACCATGTAAGGAGAGGAGCCTTGTTGCCACTGCCATGAACAATGCCATGCCTTTCCCGCCTGTGATCATGAACTGAAATTGTGAGCTAAAATAAATATTTCCTTGCTTAAGTTGGTCCTGTCAAGTATTTTGGTCACAGCAACACACAAGGAACTAATACAAGTACCAGAAAGACTCATTTACATACAATCCATCTGTTCTCTGAGCCACACAGAATCTTCTCAAGGACTTGGTATATTATTCTCCAAACCAACTGAGTTCTCATAATTTTTTAGTAGTGTTTCCCTGAACTTTCTATCCTCTCACTCCCCTATGATAGAACAAGTCATATAAGTTTCTGGATTATGCTAAACTGTAAATACTCCCACTCCCTTAATACATTCCAGCATTTAGTCATTTTTCATCCCCTTATAGTTAGCCTTTCTTGTTCTCTTTTCTTCATGTTCTCCTGTGCCTGAATGGACATTTGGTCACACACGCACACACACACACACACACACACACACCTAGCTGAATTCTGCATATTAAAGAGAACAGATGTTTGTTTCTGAGATTGTGTGAATGCAGATAATGGACGTGAGTTATGAAAGAAACACAAAGCTAATTATTTTTCTAGTTCTAATTCTGTCATGGATTTTTTGTTTGTTTTAGGTCATAGATAAGAACATAAAATATATTTGATACTAAAAGTATAAAATTTAATATGAAGCCTCACAGCTTCCATTCTAAATGCCAACCCTAAATGTATGTAAGCTCATTATTTGTAAAAATGCCAGGCCTAGTGAATTTTGGTGTGTGATGGTTTTATTTATTTGCAACGTTTTTTATAACAAATTTTATAAAAACCAAAAGCCACTACCATCTAGTTAAATAAATTATATAAATGCCTATCAGACACACTTAAATTCAAAGATACAAACTGGCAATTAAAAGATGGAGAAATATATAGTAATCAACTATAACTAAAACAGAGCCATATTGACTACACTAATAAACAAAGACACAAAACAACTGGAAATGTAATAAGAAATACATCAAGATGACACAGAAATTATAATCACATAGAACTAACAGAACCATAAACAATGAAAAGTATGCAGATGAGCATCTCTCCAACTTGTTAAACAAATCTGAAAACATGTTCAGCATTGGTTGAGATTAGGAAAATGCACATCAACACAATGTGATTATCCCCTCCATTAATTAGGATGACTATAATAAAACATGGACAGTAGCAAGAAATTATAACTTTATTATGTCTCCAATACACAGAAAAATCATAAAGCTACTATGGAAAATGTTTGAAAGTTCTTCAGAAGAACCAAACAAGCTAGACATAAAGGGCATCTGTCGGACTCCTGGATTCTCAGGACCACTTACAGCCTATTTCTTCACAAAAGTGTATATACCAGCATAGAATAATTATCCATAGCATCCAAATGGTTGACACAATTCAAGTATTCTTCAACCAATGAATGGATAAGCAAATGTGGTATATCCACACAACATATTATTTGACCATAAAAATGAATAAAGTACTACATCCATGCCATCACAGGGCTAAATCTTAACTACATCATGCAACATGACAGAAATAATTACGTAATTCCTTTTATAGTTTGTACACAGTAGTCAAATCCTTAGACATAAATTGATACTAAGGTCACAGGCTAGAAGAATAGATGACAGGTGTAACACTCGTCAGCCCCCTCAGAAGGGAGGAACATTTTAGATGTTTCATACCTGAGACAGGCCCAACTCGATACCACTTCAAAGGGAAACAGGAACATGTTAGAGTATTGTGTAAGAAATACATATACAAAATATTCCTTCATTATCATAAACCCTATCTTCCCCCAATGGCTTCTGGTCATGCCTTCAACAGTGTGGGGAAATTTCTAGAGAAGATCAATTGCTAAGGAGAGAAGACCACACTGACTATGGGCAATACCAGTCCTCTGTGATGTGGGCACAGACAAAGTAAAAGACTGAAAGGGAAAAGCCAGCCTAATGCCCTTGTTCTCCTTGGACTCATCCTAGCTATGAAGAAGTGCCTCCATCTGACGCTTCCAACACTGATAGTACATGACAGGAAGTCTAGAAGCACGGAGCTAACTGACCATGGACTATATCCTTTGAACCTAGGGCCCAAACTAAAGATTTTTCTTTTAAGTTGTTTCCAGTTTCCATCAGTTATTTAGTCACAGACATGCAAGGGAAACTAAGACAGACCACATATATGGATACAGAGAAGTAGGGCCATTTTTATAACTAAGTCTAACTTTGTAGACTGAGATCTGTTGTAGGAATTTGGAAGAGTTTGTGACTGTAGGCTAGAAAAAGCTTTCCATGGAGAGCTTTTAAGGAGAGCTTAGCAGGTGGTTCTGGTTGGAGTTCAGGAGACTGAAACATGGATCAGAACAAAAAGACAGATAAACTCATGAGGCCTCTGGATGGGAACAAACACTTTATTGGGAAGTGGACTGGAGGTCATTTATGTTAATGTTTTAGCAGAGAAATTGTCAGCATTTTGTCCGTGTCTTAAGATAATTGTGGGAGATCAAGTTCAGATAATAGATTTATTTGGCAAAGGCAATCTCTAGGCACCAAGTATTCAAGCTGAGGGTGGATACCACTGTTTGCGCTATGCTAGATTTACTACGAGAATTGAAAGCAAAAAGCCGAGCAGAAGGCTTTGGGAAGCTGGCAGGTGACCAGAAAAGGATCAAGTTGAAAGTCCTGGACAAGTAAGGGATTTGCCAGGGCAGATCATGCTCTGCTCCTTGATCAGGGCCCAGAATATGGAGTGTTGCTAGGTGAGAATTTACTTGGCTGAACAATTATGGTCCACACATTTGGTGAAGTCTGGCCAAACCCTGAGATGTCCTCAAAACACATTTCCCACATTTCAGCTGGGCATTGGTGGCACACACCTTTAATCCCAGCACTCGGGAGGCAGAGGAAGACGGATCTCTCTGAGTTTGAGGCTAGCCTGGTCTACAGAGTAAGTGCCAGGATAGGTTCCAAAGCTACACAGAGAAACCCTGCCTCGAAAAAAAAATTATTTAAAAAAAGAAAGAAAAGTACATTGTTTCTTTTCAAAAAATTCTTGTCTGCAACTATTTTAATTCTAGGGGCTATTCTAGGTCTGAATTATAGCAAATGTGCAAGTGCCTTCACTCTAATCCCAGATCTTGTAAGGAGGAAGCAGTAAAATATCTAGGAGTTTGTGGCTAACTTCTACACAGTGAGTTCAGGCCAGCCAGGACAACATAGTGAAACCCTGTATCAAAATATAATACTAGCATGCATGTGTACATGTTAGTATGAATATATGGCTTAGTTATGTGAGAGGTAGAGTAGAAATGTGTGAATAATACACACATAAATTCTATGTATTTGGAAATTAAACTTGTAAATAGGTCAAAAATATAGTGGGGAAAAAAGCAAGAATTATAAACTATTGAGGCCAAGTAGTTTAAAAACCATACTATCAATATTCTGAAATGATGGCAGGCCTCACTGGGAAGTAAATCAAGTTCCTCAGAAGGATAATACAATGAGAAAAAGACTGAGAAATGCAGAGGGGTGTAAAAGACTTAGGATGGTGGTTAGTCCAAAGAAGGGAAGCAGGTATTTTCTTAGGGAGATATAATACTAGAAGTGGCATTCTTATCTGCAACATTTATTTATTAAGCAGGGAGCAGGAGGATGATTTTCATTATGTTATTGCTTGTAAAGTTTCATACATCTAAAATGTTTTAAATGAAATGTTTTAAGGATAAAGAAAAATATGCATGTAACCCAAAAACCTAAAACTCTCAACTAAACACAAATGATACTAAATTTAAAAATCGTCCAGTTCAACCCAGCAAAGCAAATGAAATCAGTATATTCTAAACTAAAAACAATTTGTCACAGAGAAAGAGTTCAATATCAATACATTCTGGGGCTGGAGAGGGTGCTTGGTGGTTAGAGCACTTACTGCTCTTGCAGAGAAACTACACTCCTGTAATGTGATTTGTAATTCCAGTTCCTGGGGATCTGACACCCTCTTCCGGACTCTGCAGGCACCTTCACTCAAATTCACATACCCACACAGACACACAGACACACACACACACACACACACACACACACACACACACACACACAGAGAGAGAGAGAGAGAGACAGACACACACACACAAATGCATGTAACTAAAAAGATGAATGAATAAAACCTTTTTAATGTCCAGTTTTATGGACCATGGGAACAATACATAACAATTGTTAAACCGTAATAGTATCTACTACTTATATTTTTCCTGCTGTTAAATGGGGGAAATCATCATTATCTTCTATTTGTATTTTTTCAGTTAGTCTCAAATATCTTGAAATTAAGTGTTTTAATGGTAGCATGACAGTGCCTGATTGAATAAGGATCACAAGTATGAAGGATCCAGATGTATGCCCTTCACTGTTTGCTGCATGCTCTCATTAGCTTGAGTTAGTTAATGAGGTGAAGTAAACATAGAGGTGAAAAACTCAGAATTATATAAAATTAGCCCAAACAAGCATTAAAGAAAGTTCTCCACTTTCCTTGCTAATCTATTTAAGCTCTACATTATTTTCTTCCTTCTAATTGAAAATGTGAACATTGAAATATTCAATAGTAAAAAAGAAGTACAAAGTTGAAACAGCAAAAGCAGCCCTTTCCTATCAAAGATAAGTGTCCAATACTAAGTATAAAAAGCTTTGCAAGTGTAAATCTTTAGATGCTCTTTTAAAAAGTGTGACTTGGCATATCACATCATTCCTGGAAGATTCCTTGAGAAAGTCGTGCTTTTCTCCCCAGCAATATATTTTCTCGAAAGTCAAATGGCTCTGTTGGACAACACAAAATGCTGTGTGATACAGCCCAACCTTTCCTGCCTGCTGTTTGCTCTCATCTTAACCACAGCATTACATTGGTCCACCTCCTAATACCACCTTGCAGCAAAAAAGTGAACATGAGAGGAAGACT